CTTTTAAACCACAGCCTTTTCTGTGTCTCAGGACAACTGAAGCTGGTGTGGGCTTGTGTGCCCTGGGCTTCCTGAGGTCCCAAGCTGACTGTGACATTGGACCAGCTGTTTGTGGTGTCCAGACCTTGCCCCACTCTAGGCTTTTAATGTGAAGTGAGAACATAAACCATGTTGTTCTCCAGTCCCTCTGATCTAGGGACCATTCCTGCAGCTCCTCTGCCACTTCACAGAGTTCTAGTGTTGCCTTTTTTATACCATGGCTTTTTTTTCGGTGCCCAAGACAGAAGGATCTGTTCCTGGTCTCTTAGTACTGCCATTCAGAGTCCAGGGTGGGGATTCCTTTGGTTACCGTGTTTCCCTCTTGATGTTCTTTTGCCAGTCTATCTTTGGCCTTTTAATAACTGTTTAGTCAGCCCTCAGTTCTTCCTAGGAGGAACTGTTTTACTAACAGGTGTAATTTGGTGTGTTCTGTGGAGGATGTAAGCTGAGGGTCTTCCTACATTCCCATTTTGGATTAGAACTATACCACATATTTTTTTTTAATCAGTTCATTCATAGATGGACATTTATTTTGTTTCCATGTCTTATCTATTGTAAATAATGTTGCAGTAAACATGGGGGTACATATCTTTTCTAGTTTTTTCATTTTCTTTGGGTGAAAACATACACATGGGATTGCTAGATCATACAGAGGTTCTGTTTTTGTCAAGGAACCTCCATACTGTTTTCTAAAGTGGCTACACCAATTTACATTTCGACCAGCAGTGCACAAGGATTCCCTTCTCTGCATGCATATCTTGTCTTTTTTTGATACTAACCATTTAAATAGGTGTGAGGTGATATCTCATTGTGGCTTTGATTTGTATTGCTCTGATAGTGAGGTTGAACATCTTCATGTGCTTACTGGCCAACTCTGTCTTTAGAAAAAAATGTATTCACATCCTCTGCCAATTTGTTAATTGGATTTTTTTCTATTGTGTGAATTCTTTATATATTCTGGATATTAACCTTTTATCAGATACATGCTTTCCAAATATTTCCTCCCACTCTATATGTTTTCATTTTGTTGATGGTTTCCTTTGCTGTGAAGCTTTCTAGTTTGATGTAGTCCTGTTTTATTTTTGCTTTAGTTAGCTTTGCTTTTGGTGCCAAATGTCAAAACTCATGGCCAGGACCTTTGTTACACAGCTTACCACTTATGTTTTCTTAGTTTTAGGGTTCCAGGCCCATTTGATTCTTTAATTCTGTGTATGGTGTAAGATGATGGCCCACATTTATTCTTTTGCATGCAGCTGTCATTTTTTCCAACACATTAAATAGACTATCTTTCCCCTACTGTAGATGCTTGGCTTTTTTGTTGTAAATTAATTGACCATATATGCATGGATTTATTTCTGGGCTTCCATTGATTTGTCTGTGTTTTTGGTGTTTTATTTGAGAGAGAGCATGCATGAACAGGGGGGATGGCAGGAGAGGGAGAAGCAGACTCCCTGCTGAGCACAGAGCCCAAAGTGGGGCTTGAACCCAGGATTCTGGGATCATGACTTAAACCGAAGGCAGATGCCTGATTTTTTTTTCTTTTTAATCAAAAGTATGGCTGAAGATGAGGCATCTTAAAATAAGACTCAATGCAGATAGATACAGAAAACTACAAAATAAGATGTATAAATAGATTTGACTGCAACAGCTAAGTTGGCTTCTGATAGTCTATGCATAATGCTAATGCAGCACACAAATGATTGTGCATATCTTGCAATATGCCAAATACCTAACATGCATCTGCTTAGTATGCTCAGCCTTCCTGGCCTGCAGCCTATGTCCATGAGATCATGATCCCCAACCTCTAAAACTCAGAGTGAAAACTGTATTATTAGTCTATGAGGGCTGCCACAACAAAATACCATGGACTGGGTGCTGGAGGCTGAAGTCCAAGATCAAGGTGTCAGCAGCATGGTTTCTTCCAAGGCCTCTCTCCTTTGTTTGCAGGTGGCCGTCTTCTGTGTCCTCACTGATGAGGAACAGAAGCAGGAAAATGTTTACCTTTAGCCCAGAAGGCTGACCTATAGCCTGCATAGTTGCAGTAAGGATCAAATAGGTGCTGGCTGCTATGGGTCTCATGACTGCCTGTACAACTCACTCAGTTAATATCGAGCTAAATGATAAGCACCAAAGACATCTTGGGAAAATATTAAGAGTAGAAAATAAGACATTTAGGACTAATACTCCCTGCACATCCCCTTCCCCTTGTGCAACTAAGCAAATAACCACCAGTTTCATGTAGCAAAAGTGCAGCAGCCTCATCTGCCAATGGGTCCCCATCCCCATGCTAGAATAAGAGTACCTTTTTGCCCTGAAAAAGTCTTGAGAATTCTTGACTGTTCGCTCCTGACCAACATCATTTTGGCATCCAACATGGGGCCTGTCTTCTCATCTGGACTCTGAGTTTTGGTGTAAACTTGATGAGTACTTTCTCTTACTTTCACTTCCAAGGCTTTTCAAGGAGTAAGGTCTTGTATTTATTCATTTGAGAGGGTGGGCGAGGAGGCACAGAGGGGGAGAGAGGCAGAGAAGCAGAACTCTCTGCTGAGCATGGAGCCTGCTGCAGGATTCAATCCTAGGATCTAGAGATCATGACCTGAGCCAAAACCAAGAGTCAGAGGCTTAACCTACTGAGCCACCCAGGCGCCCCTTACTAGAATACTTTCATGTTAATTGTTTAGGCTGCAGTCCTCCAGCCTGTGGCTGTTCTACAGAGAGAAACAAAAACCTGCCCTCTGACTAGAAGCTAGTCCGCCCACCAAAATGAGACCCATTATAATAAAAATATTACTTGGCCACTAACTAAGCTAATAAACCCTCCTGCTCCTACTAGACCCAGGTTACCAGAGGAATCACAGGACATCCCTAACGAAGGAGACTTGGGCTCTCTCATTTCTCTACCTCGTAATAGACCCAGGTTACTCTTGTTATGGGGAAGGGGAGAGGACTTCTCCCTCATTCATTTCTTGGGTCAATGGCTATAATAATTGGAGCCAATTGTTTGTAGTTAGTCTACCTCAGGAGAGGATTTTAAGGAATATTCCCAAGCAGCTGCTACAACTCTTTTTCATTTCTGGGAAGTGCTGGTCTTCTCCAGCATGATTTGCACTACCTATATTCACTTTTTGTTGGTGCAGAAAAAAAACAAACGTGTCTGCTCATCTGTCTGAACTGACAAACTTTGGGCTTTTATCCACCTCCAGCCTTCCTGGTAGCACTTCCCCTCTTTGCCTCCCTTCCCCCCACCCCTCCATTCCTGCACCACTATGGGTGCAGCCTGCATAACTGGCTCCTATACCATCTCAGTGTCTCCGACCCATCTTCCCCTCACTATCATGGAGCAAAGAACACCCCTTTCTGGACTTATACCCCTCACTACAGGTTTCGCCACTAGGGTCCCTCCTCAATGGGAAGCAAATTGAGCTAAGTAGGTGTAACATACCTGGTATTTAAGCTAATTTAGGTTTGTTAGCTTAATTAAGATATGTCTTTAGAGTTATCAGCAGTAAATATAATACTTTTATCCTACCAAGACTTACTAAAGGTCAAGTAAGCTCGTTACCTCTATTGCAATTTATCAGCAAAAAGATGGCTTAAAATGACAGTTAATTCTGTCTCATGAAGTTATCATGGGTAATTGTTAAGCTAGCTTACAAAATCTTTAGTAACCTGAAACTTTGAAGTTTTGCTTAGATGACCAATGGGGTTAAATTCATCAGCTAGCTAAATCTTCCCCAAGAGATACTGAAGCACTGATTACTGAACATGAGGTTTAGCTGCTTTTGGCTTCCTATTGCAGAGAAGCTGAGGATACTGGGGTCTGTTGGTAAACATGCTTTATTGAAAGATTGTACTGTGGAAAAACATGTTTTTAGAAATTATGAAATGCATCTATAAATTTGCTGATCTAAAGAATTCTGATGTAACAGTTCATATTGGGTTACTGAATTTTCATTGGAGACTAAGGTCTCTAAGAGTTAAAATTCTAATGTAATTAAGACTGGTGAAAATCAGGAAAGCAACTCTGTATACAAGGAAAGATGTGTTTTTAATAAGAAAGATCTAAAGAAGGGGAATATATTTTGTTGAGGAAAAAAGGTAATTTTGTCCTAAAATGAGTTGGTTGTTTGGAAACAAAAGGCTTAGGACAAAATCTAAAAGCAAAGAAAGTTGTAGAAGGCTTGTGAAGGGAAAGCTTTAGAAAATAATTTTATGTATGGTCAGAACAGACTCAGAACTGAAACTTCTCAGTATTAAAGGAGGTAAGTAGGGACGCCTGGATGGCTCAGCGGTTGAGCATCTGCCTTCGGGCCAGGGTGTGATCCCAGGATCCTGGGATTGAGTCCTGCATTGGGCTTTCCGCACGGAGCCTGCTTCTCCCTCTGCCTACGTCTCTGCCTGTCTCTCTCTGTGTGTCTCTCATGAATAAATAAATAAAATCTTAAAAAAAAAAAAGAAAAGAAACTAAGATTTGCTAACAATTGTAGTAAAGTCTACAATTGTAGTAAGAGTCTGTAGACTCTTACTGCCAGCTTGGGAAAGCAGATCATTATAGATCTTAAATGTAGAATGATCTATAATACTGTTTAGACATGTGCTTTAAAACTTCCTGAGTTAACAAACTACCCCCCCCAATCAGATTTGAAATGGTAAATGAAGTATTTTTGACTAATTAGGTTTGTTTATTTGGTATGTTAAGTCATTTGGAAAGCCTATCAAGGCAACAATGAAAAACCTTAGGTTGTGTTATGTGGGTGAATGCTATATTCTAGAAAATATATGAAATTCCTTAAGTTTTAATATGTCCTAGTAAAAAGCCATTACTTCAGTTATTTCTGTGGCATAACTTTCCAATAATTTGATTTCCTTGTTAGTTGTATTATAATGAACGTTCAGATCTTTAACCATGTCCATTTGAGGGGTTTGTGTGTTTCATTTATACATTTATAGTTTCTTTTAAGATTATTTATTCTAGAGAGAGCCCATGAGTGGGGTGAGGGGCGTGCAGAGGGAGAGAGAGAATCCTGAAGCTGACTCCCACTGACTGGACTGCAGCGCTCAATGCGCTCCTCAGGACCCGGAGATCATGACCTGAGCCAAAATCAAAAGCCAGCCGCTGCTTACTGAGCCACCCAGGTACCCCTTATTTATAGTTATTCTGATGCTCTTGCAAAATGTGTTTCATCTTTGAGGAGATTAATAAAGAACTGATGAATACAGGTTTTTGATATTTAAAAGTCTTAAAACTGAACTGGGTAAGAATTTCCAGAAATAATGGGAAAGCCACACTCAAAGAGAACAAAAATTAATAGGACTGAATGGAGGAAAATGGTAAAATATTCCTTTGTGAACAAATTGAAACATTTAGCTTCCCTCCCTACCCGAACCCTCCAGAATCTAGAAACTCTCAATGAACATTCTTCTGTGGCAATTACAGTTATTTGCATAACTTCAGTAAGACTGTTTTCCTTGTAACAGGACACCATTTGGAAACATTGGTTACATCATCAAGGCTTTGATTGGGATGTCTTGAGAGAGACCTTGAAGGACTCAGATCTAGGGTCCAGATAGCTTTAAGGAATTAAAGTGGACTTTATGGAACCTACAGAGCCCCTTGGAAATGCTGGCCTGATACCTTGTTTGCAAGGTTCCCAGCCACCTTACTCCCTTCCTGGAAGGGATATTTTGGGGATCTAAAGAAGAGGAATTCACTCAAATCAACAGGTAGTACAGGCAAGTCTGACAACCAGAATTTAGCTTGTCTCTGGCCTCGAGGAGCTATTAAAAGTTCAATCTAGAGATTCCTTAGAAGTTCCAGCAAGGATCTATATGATCAATCACTATTCTTGCTGAGCTTATGTAAATAATTAGGCCAACCTGGTTGGCTCAGCGGTTTAGTGCTGCCTTCAGCCCAGGGTGTGACCCTGGAGTCCCAGGATCGAGTCCCATGTCGGGCTCCCTGCATGGAGCCTGCTTCTCTCTGTGTGTCTCTCATAAATAAATAAAATCTTAAAAAAAAAAAACTGGACTTCTTTTTTTTTAATTCTTTTTTTTTTAATTTTTATTTACTTATGATAGTCACAGAGAGAGAGAGAGAGAGAGGCAGAGACACAGGCAGAGGGAGAAGCAGGCTCCATGCACCGGGAGCCCGATGTGGGATTCGATCCCGGGTCTCCAGGATCGCGCCCTGGGCCAAAGGCAGGCGCCAAACCGCTGCGCCACCCAGGGATCCCAACTGGACTTCTTTTAACAAGAATTAGTTTTATTTGGCTATTTCTGGAAAGAAGGGTGAATTTAGAAAGAAAAATCATGTTCCAATAATGTATCCTTATTGATTTTAGATTCTAGTTTTGTCTTTAAATGTTTGTTTGTCTAAGCTAGACAACTTGAGATAGACTTCAGAGAGAAGTCATAGCTCATATGTAAACAATCTTCCTGCTTGTGACACTGTGGGGATAATAAAAGGGAAAAAATCATATACCCATAGGGTCCATTTTTTTAAAAAAATATTTTAAGTTTTATTTAAAATTAACATTATTGGTTTCAGAGGTAGAGGTAAGTGATTCATCAGTCTTATATAACGCCCAGTGCTCATTACATCACATGCCCTCCTTAATGTTCATCACCCGGTTGCCCCATTTCCCCCACCACCTCCTAGGTAGATGATTATTTAAACAGCAGGACAAGGGGGTGGACTCCCCAACAACTGTATAACATCAGTTCTCTATGACTGGGATAACAAAATCGTTCCGTAAAAATCAGAGCGTATCCCACTCCATGGGGCTAACTATGAAATGGTGCAGATAATGGATGGCCCCACTTTCCTTAAAAACTGGATTGGGGAATGCACTCGGGGATGCCCTTCTCTCCGGAGACAAGTCATCTCCCACTTGCCTGCAATTCCTCATTACTAGGATAAATTAAGGCTAGACATAGGCAAAGAGAGCTTCTTGATGGTCTTATCCCTCACCCATATTTGTCCCAGGAGGTACCTCTATTGATGTAAAATTACAAGTAGAGGCTTTAGCCAAGCATAAAGTAGAGGGACCACTTTTAACCAAACCCAACATGAAGCCACCCACAAATTTTAAAAGTGGCCCTCTAAAACCTAATGGCCACTGCTAATCCTGACTGCAAATCAAAGAGGAAATTATTATGCTAATACTGAGACTCAGTGTTGTGTTTATAAATATCCCAGACAACTCTGCCAGTGTATCCAAAGCTTCAGCGGACTTGCATACATACCATACCTAAATGGTGACTTTTTTTTTTTTTTTACAGTGGACATAATAGTATACTGAACTACAACACCAGCCTTGCTAGATGTGTGGCTTACTGCTGATAGCAAGCACTTCAGGCCTCCCTTAATGGTTTTTCTCCATTACACAGTATAGATAAGCATTATTTGTATCCATACATAGCTGCTCTGATGCATCACCTAATGCCAGCACATACAGGGATATTTCCATTACTAAAATAAAATGTTTCTTGCTGGCCTATGGAAAAAGTAAGAGGCCTTTCTCTTATCTTCAGGCTATCAGAATTTTAACTGAATATTCCAGCCCACAGATGGGCTCACAGCAATGATGGACAAGATTCATGTTCCATTGGTATGACCACCTGACATCTTTTTTTTTCTATCAAGTTTAGAAAATGTAATATGGCACATGAAAGCCCTTGATAAATGCGCAATTTAGGCCTTAAGTGCCTCTCAAAATAGCATTATACTATTAAACACTGAAATGACTCAAATACATAAAGCAGTTCTACCAAATAGAATGGCATTAGATGTTTTCATAGCAGCACCAGGAGGAACAGCTGCCATTATTAAAGCAGAATGCTGTGTCTACATTCCAGATCATAACCAAACTATAACAGTTACTTACTGATATAAATAACAAATCGGTGCTCTTAAAGACCCTACCTTGTCACTTAATAATTGGTTACAGACCTGGTTAGGAGGTGGACTATGGTCCACACTAAAGGGTCTTCACATTTCTCAGTTTCATTATAATAACCCCAATGTGTTCTCTTTTTCACTTTGTTCTCTCCTTTTGTCCAGATACATGCAAGCAGTTCCTGACTCCTTCACCCAGCCAAAGGATGATCCTTAGTACTCAAAACAAATCCATCCTGATGTCCCCTCTGGACTCTACAGCAATGGCCCTCCATAATAGTTACTTGTCCCTACCTATGGACCAAAATTGTCCCTACATCTCTATAACCCCTGTTAGCTTGAAGAAGTTACAGAAGACAAGCCCTTCATCCTTCAACAACCTTAAAGATTTGAGGACCAAACATTGGTCAGAGGGGAAATTATGATGGATAGAAGCAAAAAAAAATGTTCATCTTTAACCCAGAGAACCAAGCATGGAGCCCAGTTCAGGATTCAAACTCACAATCCTGAGAAAGAGTTGGATGCTCAATCAACTGAGCTACCCAAGCACCCCAACGGGCTGCTATATTCTTAAAGGGCCTCACAACTGCCTGTACAGCTCACTGATAGCTAATATCAAGCTGAATGATAAGCACCAGAGAAATCCTGGTAGTTTTATAAGCAGAAATTCAAAGAAAGACACTTAGAATCTAGTACTCGTGCACTAAGCATATAAGCACCAGCTTCATACAGCAAAAGTGCAGCTCTTTTGGCCCATGTCCCCATGTTGTAATAAAAAGCACTTTTTGAACTAAAAACATCTCAAGAATTCTTGACCATTCACTCACAACTTCACATCACTCACATGGACTTTCCTCTGCTTGCATTTCCTGTATCTCTGTTCTCATCAAGATACTCAGCCTATTGGATTAGAACCCCGCCCTCATGATCTCATTTAACATTAGTGACTTGAAGTACTTTCCAAATGCAGTCATATTGGGAGTTAGGATGTCTCTGTATAAATGTGGGGGTGACATAATTCAGTACTTAACTGTTAATCCCTCCTTCCCTTTGAAGTACAACCCAAGCAAGGCTCTTCTCTCAAGGCCCTCCACGTAACAGAGAGAAAGCTCTTCTTTAAAAAGCCAGTGTCAAGCTTCTCAGCTTTAAGTACAGCAATGGGGATCCCAGTTTCCACAAGCAGTTCAGATTGCTTACTTGACAAAGATCTGTGCCATTGGCATCTGGCTCCAATCTCTGGCCTTAAACCACGTTATGTAGAAACCACCCCATCCCACACTTGGTCTCTTTCTGACCCTTCCCTTCTGTATTGCTTTAAAAAACTTTTGAATTGGGACACGTGGGTGGTTCAGTGGTTGAGCATCTGCCTTCAGCCCAGAGTGTGATCCTGGAGTCCCAGGATCAAGTCCCACATCGGGCTCCCTGCATGGAGCCTGCTTCTCCTTCTGCCTGTGTCTGCCTCTCTGTGTGTGTTTCTCATGAATAAATAAAATCTTAAAAAAAAAAGTTTTAATTATAGTTGACATACAATATTATTGCAGGCATGTGACATAGCAACTCAACATTTATATACATTACCAAATAATGCTCACCAGGTAAGAATAGTAACCATTAGCCACCAAAGTTAATACAAAATTGACTATATTCTGTATACTGTAATTTTCACCCCATGACTTATTTGTAAGTCCAAGTTAGTACCTCTTAATCCCCTCTACATACTCCACTCACCCCATCCCCCAACTCCTTACCTTCTGGTAACCACAAGATTTTTCTTTGTAATAGGAGTTTCTTTTTTTATCTTGTTCTTTTAGATTCCACATATAGGTGGAATACTATGGTATGTGTCTTTTTCAGACTTATTTCACCTCACATGATATTGTCTCAGTCTAAGTTGTTACAAATGACAAGATCTCAATCATTTTTACAGATGAGTAATATTGTATATATAACCATTTCTTTATCCATTTGTCTATCTATTCAACACTTATGCTGTTTCCATATAGTAGGTGCTTGTGGGGGCCCAGGAAACTCTGGCTTAAGTAATTGCTAGGGCCTAGGAGCCTGTACCCTAAACCATTGTTAAGGACCCAAGAGATTGTATAGTAGGCAATGAGGGAAGTGGGCAGGGGACATGTTAGACAATTGTGGGCCTAGGAAGCTGCATCATAAGCAATTATCAGGCACAAGAAAAAAAAATTTGGTGATTTTATCTAATTGATGTGAGGGTGAGGAAACTGTAGCTGTAGGTGATTTTGTATAGCCACAAGACACTAGCTTAGGGAAATGTTGGGGGCCAGTGCAACTCTGCTTTGGGAGATTATGGAGCACAAGAAAATCTGGCTGTTTATGGAGAGCCAGGAAATGCTCTGGTAAGTATTTAGAACAAAGATCTTGAATTCTGGGGGTTATGGAGGCACAAAAAAACAACTGGGGGATTTTAAGGAACCAGTAACACTATCTTATGTGATGGTGGGGCCCCAGTAACTCTACCTTATATGATCAGGGGTACCCAAGAAACAGGACCTTATGTAAATAGGGCGGCCCCAAACACTCTACGTGATGAGTTTGTACACTCCCATGAAACTACCGTAGGTGGCTAAAGATGCTGAGGACCAACCAGCTTGGTTCATTGTGGAAGCCAGGAAACAATAGGGGGGAGATTCCATGGGACCTAAACAGTTCTCCCTCAGTTGTGCTGGGATTCCAGGAGACATTACGGTAGGAATTCTAAGCCCACAAAATTCTATATAAGTGATTATGGGGGCCAGGAAAATCTGTGTGACTGGGGGTACCCAGGAGACTGTACATTAGGTGATTTTACAGCCAGCATTGATTGTGGGGGCCCAGAAACTAGAGCTTTAGGTGATTTTGTGGAGTGAAGACACCCCTTTAGAAGAATGTTGGGAGCTTATAAAATTCTACCTTAGGTGATTGAGGAGAGCCAGGACATACTCCAACCCTGCTTAGTTGATTGTTGAGACAAGAAAGTCACCTTAGGCAATTGGCCCGGGGGGGGGGGGGCGCAGGTGCAGGAAACTGTAACTTAGAACTTATTGTAGGGGTCCCAGAAAACTTGACCTGAGGTAGTGTTGGGTACCCAGGAAACTCAACCTTAGTTCTCTGAGGTACACAGGGTCGACCCTTAGTGATTGAGACTGCCAAAACATCTGTCTTCAGAAATATTGAGGACCCTGGAAACTATACCTTAGGTATTTGGGGGAGCCAGGAACGTGTCCCTTATACAATTAGGGGAACCCAGGAAACTCAATTAGAAAACTATAGAGACCAGGAAAATGCATCTTAGTCAATTGTATGTGGAAGCCAGGAATATATCTCCTGGTGATTTGGGGGCCTGAAATGTTCTACCTTGGGTGATCTGGGGGACTAGGAAACATACCCTTAGTTGATTAAGCCCTGGACTGTCCTGGGCTCCCATAATTGCCTCAGGTAGAATTTCTTGAGCCCTCCATAATCAACTAAGAAAAAGTATCCTGGGCCCCCTAGATTACCCAGGGCAGAATTTCCTGGGACCCCAAATCACAAATATATCGTGGCCCATACACACAATGAACTAAGGTATAGTTTCCACAATACCCCAATTTCCTAAGGTAAAATTCCTGGCAATGTACAAACCCCTAGGAGATAGTTTTCTGGTCTCCCCAAATCATCTTAGGTACAATTCCTGACATCACCTAGAATTTCCAGGGCCCTTGATATTTTAAATGTAGAATTTTTTTTTAAGATTTTATTTATGCATGAGAGAAACACAGAGAGAGAGGCAGAGGGAGAAGCAGGCTCCATGTAGGGAGCCCAACGTGGGACTTGACCCCAGGTCTCCAGGATCAGGCCCTGGGCCGAAGGCAGCGCCAAACCGCTGAGCCACCAGGACTGCCCCCAAACGTAGAATTTTTAATGGGCTGTGAGATCACTAAAGCTTAGTACCCTGTCTCATTCAAAGACGTAAGGCAGGTTTACCGAGCCCACACTGTTATGGGTACACGATCCTGGCCCCACACAGCCCTCTCAAATGTAAGATCCTGCCCCTCGCATGAGTGGATTCAACTAGGGGAGATTATTCTGGCTCCCACAATCACCTCAAGTACAGCTTCCCGTGCCCCACATTCAAAAATGCTAGTTTCCTGAGCTTCCACATTCACCTACAGAAGATTTCTGGGACCACATAATCACAGAAAGGTCTCTATTAATGGTCCCCATCATCATCTAAGGTAGAGTTTCTTGATTCCAAAAGAACTCAGTTTCCTGGGCATACAGAATCACCTAAAGTAAGTTACCTGGTACCACGCATCAACCTATGGAGTGTCCTTGGCCTTCCACCATCACCACAGCTAGACTTTATGGGGCCCCTTGCAATCGCCAAAGCTATATTTTCCTGGGACCTCCCCCCATTCACTGAAGCCAGAGTTTACTTGACCCCCTAAATCACGTAAAGTTGCAATCATCCACCCCCCTCAAAATCATCTAAGCTCTAATTTCCTGGGCCCCTAGGACACCTGATGTAGAGATGCATGAGCACACACAACTACCTAGATAAAGAATACTGAGCCCCCACCATCACCTAAACTACAGTTTCTGGTATCCCCCCAACTATCACCAAAGTCACAGTGACCTTGACATCCACAATCACCCATGAAAAAGTACCCTGACCTTTCATCATCAAAGGGTAGAATTCATGGACCAACCCCCCCCCCCATCCTCCCAGCACTTACCTAATGTACAGTTTAATGGGCAGCACAATCAACTAAGGAGAGTTTCCTGGACACTCACAATCACAAAATGTAGAGATACTTGCCACCCCCCCATCTCCCACCTAAAATCTAGTTTCAGGGAACTCTACCACCATCACCTAAGGCGGATGGTTTTAGGTGCCCACAATCATCAAATTGTGTTTCCTTGATGGCTGATATCAACCAACAGAGTGCCTGGGGCTCCCAAAATCCCCTGAGAGTGTTCAGACTCCCCAAATCACCTAAAGATAAGAATCCTGCCCCTGCCATCACAAAAGTTTCTTGGGTCCTGAAGATCACCTAAAAGAGTGTTTTCTGGACCCCAATGTCACCTAAGGAATAGATTCCTGGCCCCGCATTATCAATTAAGGGAGAGTTTCCTGGTTCTCTAGATGACTCAAGATAGAATTTCCTGATACCCCCAAATCATTAGGGGATACATTCCTGACCCCCACACACCATCAACTAAGGTATGGTGGCCTGACCACCACAATCCCCTAGGTAGAAATCTTGGCCCCCACTATCCCGAGAGTTCCCTGGGCTCCCCAAATTGCCTAAGGCACACATTCTTGGGTCCCCTAAAACCTAAGGTTGAAATTCCAGGACCTTCAATATTTCCAAAGGTAGAATCGGGAGAGGGCTTGGCGGGGTGTGGAGTTGCAAAAATCACTAAGGTTTACTCCCTGTCTTCCTCAAAGACCTTGGGTCAAGTTTTCTGGCCCCCACAACCATCTAAGCTCTAGTTTTCTGCCCCTTTATCCCCGCCCCCCCACCACTCATGAAATATCCTAAGCTGCAGTTGCCTGGACCCCCTATAATTGGCCTAAGGCGAATGTTTTGGGCTCCAACAATTAACTAAGCTTGAGTATGTCCTGGCTCTCCACAAAAATCACCTAAAGCTACAATCTCCTGGGCCCCCACAATCAATCTAGCAGCACAGGCTTGGATCCAATCACCTAACATTCAGTCTCCTCAGCCCCTCAGTTACCTAAACTAGAGGGACCTGGGCCACCACATCATCTAAAACACACCTCACTGGGCCCCCAACATCACATCTAGACAGTTTCTAGACCTACAATTCCTAGGTTAATATTTCTTGGGGCCCCATAACACCTAAGGGAAAATTGCCTAGGCCTCACACAGT